GCCAGGGGTGTACACATGTCACAGGAGTTATACGCTCTGTCATGGTTGGTGGATGTTGCACCTGCCAAGGATGACCCATTCAAGTGAATGAGGCAACCTTGTGCAGAAAAGCAAACAAAGGGTTAAAGCAGACAGCGTTGTATTGCTTTCTCACCACCTGGCTTAACCCTTGGATTCCACAGAAGAATGCAGTTGTGGGGCGCTTGCAGAGTGGCCCCATTTACTTGAATGGGTAGTGATTGCCAGGAGGTGGCACCCACAAAAAGTAATAGGGGGATTAATTCCTGCTGCAGTATGTGTACACTTTTGGCTGCTGCCGTAGCAGCTAAAGGGGGGAAGGGATTTGGGGGGGGGGGGGGTAAAACCGTGACTCAGCTACAGGGTTTTACCACCTCCCAACTTTATGTGTAAACGAGCCCTAAGGGTGCAACTAAGGGTTCCTTCGCAAATGCAGCAGGCACTGCTGATCCTCTGAAAAGCAATCCAAATGTGTCTGACAGGTGGTGAGGAAGCAATATTTTGCCTCCTCACCACCTTATTTAAACCCATGATTGCTGTGCAATACATGCGATTGCAAAGTGGTAGTACAGCAATTAGAGGTTTAAATCAGGTGTGAAGAGCCGACAGTGTGCCTGGTGATCTTTGCCTTCTCCCATGTTGTTTAAGTAGATCTCCACCTCTTTAAGGTGCCTAACCCTGCAATATAGAATGGACACTAGACAATCCTAAGGCTGCATTCACACTTGAGCGTTTTTTTACCTTGAGGCTCAAAGCTCAAAAAATGCCCAGATTTTAAAAATCAATTGTTCTCTATGGTGCCTGTTCATTGGATCAGGTGTGAACAGGCACCAAAGAGAACAATTGATTTTTTAAGTTTGAGCTTTTTTGGAACTTCAAGCTACAAAACACTCAAGTGTGAATGTAGCCTTAGTGCCTATGTGCCTATGTATATTGTCTTCTAATGGCTACTTAAAAAGTATATAAAGGCAAATTTTTTGTAGTTTTGGACAAAGGGTGGTTAGGACCATAATTAAGACCCCTGAGGGCTGAAACATGTAATCTGTTTGTTTCCTGGATTTTATTACCTCTGCCTATAGTAAATAAATAGATTTTTTGCTGTGAAGGATCCAAGTTGCTGATTACATTTTCTTCATCGCTTGCTTGTAGAGCCTGTTGATCGGTCACCAGAGGATAGTCTTTCATGCTAAACTGGATTGGCCTAATGATGCAATTCATGTTTTGAAGAGAATGGTTAGTACGCCTGATAGGTTTTCATTGCTGTCTGTGTCCTTGCTATGGAGATTCATCCCTCTATTTTCCCTGGTGACCCTTGTCTCAAAGACAAAAAGTGATAGAACATCCAACATTTTTGAGTTGTCAGTAGAGCAGAGGGAAAATCCTCAAATTGGGACATATGACAATTCTGTTTGCTTAAAGCGGAGTTCTACTCACCTGTCAAAAAATAAAAGTCAGCAGCTACAAAAACTGTAGCTGCTGACTTTTAAAAAAACAGCCACTTACCTGTCCCTCCATCCTGTGGTGTGTCCCCCGCAGCTCATTTCACCGATCCTCCTGGATTCCAGGAGGCTGACATCTTCAGCGTGGGCACCCGGCTGTAATAGCTTATGGTTTCACAGCTGGGTACCCACTGCGCATGCGCAAGAAGCGCTGCGCTTCAAGAATGGTCCTGTAGTCTTCTGGGACTTGTCACGTGTCCCAAAAGACTACAGGAAAAGAGGGAGGGAGGACACCTTCCGTTTCCGATCCCCTAGGTAATCGGACTGAAAATGGGAGTGGGTACCTGTCAAATTTGGGTACCCACTCCCCCCCCCCCCGCCCCCCAAAGGTGCCAATCCTTAATGGGGAGCGGGGAGCAGCCCTTAAAGCAGAACTTCCCCTTTTGGGGGAAGCTCCGCTTTAAGAGAGATTTCCTCTCTTTTCCTGTTGGGTGTCCAGGGCAAGAAGTGAAAGATATATCCTAGCTGGACACAGACAGAAAGAAAGACAGGGGTGTTAGCCCCTTCCTACTCTATAAGAAATATTTTTAAAAAAAAAAAGACGGTTTTGGGTTTACATAGACTTTTTTTTCTGCACAATGAGTTGTAATAAACAAAGCATGGAATAGTATAAAAATAATATTTTTATGCATGGTTTGCTGTTATAACATGTTTTATTGATATTTAATATACAAGTACATAAAATATTACAGTGCAGTAAACAAAAACACATATGTTTCAAAAGATTCCAATCTGATGTAGTCCTTGTCCCATCACTTACTAGTGCTTTTCTAGCTATTAGTCACTGTTTCATGATAGCTCTTGTAGCCCAACTCTTTCACTTCCTCTTCCCAATCTCCTTCTCATCACTTACTACCATGTTTTCCCATCAGATAACATTACAAACATTACAAACACATAACATAAGTGTGTAAAGTAGAGTCTACAATGTGGCATAATCGCTGGTTCATATCAGCTCTGAACACCAACATCTATCAGTTCCAATAACTGGGAACGTTTACACTGCTTTTGATTTATAAGTCCATGGCAACACTCTCAATGTGTAATTTTGTATCGCAAGATAGGATTTATTATATATCATGTATGGTTGGGTCATTACACACTTTTAGTGGAAAAATATGGAGGCTGCCATTGCTGACCTCTCCTTCTGAAAGTGCTTATCATTTGATTGCAATACTAGACTTTCCTGTAAGGGGATCAACATTGGCAGCCCCTATATTTCCCTCAAGACATGTTTACATTAAAGTACATTTTGTTCCTATTGGGACAAGCTCAGGTTTTTTGTATCACTAAGTCCCTGGTCACACCGGTGTGATTTGACTATCTATCAAATCGCATGACAAGCCACACCCTATTGTCCCCATTGCAAGCGGTCATTTCACTGCAATTCCAACTCCGTCGGTGTTGCACCAATTTCGAAAGTATTTCATGCACTACGTTTTGCAAGTTTACATGCGACTTACATTGTCATCTGTGCATGATGTCGCACAGATGTCTTCCAAACTCCCACTTGAAGTTAGACTGACATCCACCTTTAAAATCGTGCAAAATCAAGTGAAGTTGCACGGTTTCAAAGTCGGATGTGGTGTGACCGAAGACTAAGAGGATCTTGCTACAGTTATCTAGAGAAGACTAAAGAATGCTTTGTAAGGATCTACAATTTGCAAATGGCACCAAGCATCTTCCACTGGACACGAGCAATTATATATGTAAATATATTTTTGCAGAATTACTTTCATCTTCTTTGGGTTGTCAGTTATCTAGAAAGGTATGCATGGCTAGAGTAAATTTTATTAATGGATTTAAAATAAACCTGTACTTTGCCTATGCACAGCAAAGCAACATGTTCACATTATTGTCAATCCCACCAGAAGCCTATATCTGTGTAGCACCCTCCTAGTCAGCTAGGGGGAGCTAAAGTTCAGTCAGAGGCTGAGTAGCACCCTGATGCAACAGTCAGAGGGGTCAAATTTCGGTCAGAGTTGAGAGGCTCTCTGAGACTTCCCCCTGCACTAGAACTTTGGAGAAGATTCTAGAAGAAGTGGGAGGGAGTGAGGAGTGGCTGGTGTGCACTCTCAAGGGATCCTTGCCAATCCCAACAAGAGGTTTGGCTTGGGGCCAGAACAGCCCTTAAGAGTTGCAGAGCCTGCTTAGCAGAAGGAGAAATCAGGTGGAAGATGGAGGGCAGGACCCTGGGACGGGGCCCAGATAGAGAGGGGCTTACCTACAGGCAGAGGATCTTGGGAGGAGGAAAGCTTGAGACTTCACTGCCCCCCACAGGGAGGACCACCTATTCAGCAAGGAAGGAGCAGTCCAGTTAGAAGGCCTGGTAGCAGCCACCAACCCACCAGCAGCATGAGAGAAGGACAGAGTGAGTAGACCTACCCCCCTGGGCCAGTAAGAGAAGAAAGCACTTCAGTTGGAAACTGGATTATCTTACTACCTGGGACTGTCTTCTTTTAAAAGTAGCAGATACTGGATCCCCTGTCCAGGGATTCTTTCAGGCAGCTAGATGAAGGAGGATCTGGGGTCTAGGGTGGTACTACAGGAGATGCTGGATAGCTCTCTAAGAAGATAATTTTTTGATGTAAAGGCTTGTATATAGTTACAAGAAGTTTGTCCTCTGTTACTGTTCCCTTAGGCATCCCATACACCCCTTACCCCATCCAAGTTGAATTTCCCCTAATAAAATCCCCAAAAAACAAGCTCAAGAACTGGTTACTGTCTCCTGGATGCAAGTCTGTATGGAAAATGTGTGTTTCCTGGCTGTGCAAGACTATAGGGGGACCCAAATCTCTAGCGACTCCTAAGGGAGTAGTGCTACATCTGTCTTTCCTGCTGTTCCATTCAGGTACAGGGAGTGAGGAAAGTCACAGCTTGGAGCTTACACAGGGCTCCCCTATCCTCATGTGACAATACTGGGTGTCTAAATGGCCAATCATGTAGGAGGAAGGGGGCTAAGTCACAATTTCTCCACAGTTGAAAGTACTTGGTATATTTCCCCACTTGCAGAAGCACAACAAAACATAGGGAAATATGCTTTGTATAAGCTGCTGCAAGTCTTGCCATTAAAGTGAGACATTGCTTTACTTTGCATTGGCATAGATTCATTAGCAATTTGGCAATTTGGCTGTGCATTAAAAAAAGCTATTGACTGTCTGAAAACTAGCAAGCAGAAGACTTCTTTGTTCTTTTACACTTGATACATTATTATAACATTTATATAGATCGCTGCTTTTTCAAGCACCTTACAATTTTGTAATTATGGACACAGTTTTAAAAGTTTCAAGGTTGTATTTTATACAGTTTTGAACTTTTCAATAAATTTGCGTAAGTGCGGAATGCTGTAATATCTAAGTGGATAATTTAAGACAACCAGTGATAAAACTAAGCCCACATGGTATGACCCACATGGTAGACATGCATGCTTATGTGCGATTTGCTTAATAAAAGCTTAAAACTACACATCAAACATCTATGAATTTATACATCATGACCACACTCAAGGCACAGTATACCATTATCCCTTTGGAGAAATTTTTGGCCAACGAGTGAAGCAGTGCATTTTGAACAACTGAAGCAGTCTGTGTGCCAGTGAAAATCCTCAAATGAGATATATTTGCCACCTCCTTGACCTGCAATGAAAAGAAATGTCAGATTACTGTGGCAAATGTGAGAGGTGATACATTAGTGTTAGCGAAGTACATGGTCCAAATAATGCTGTCAAGAAGTCATTATCTCAATATGTGTCCAGAATTAACTGTCACGTAGCAACCAGCACAATATTTTGCTTGGTACCTATTTTAGTATGAAGAATGAGTCACAAAGAATCTGACAACGGGAAGACATACGAGAACTGATTCGAGGTGTCCTGTGCCTAATAGTAGTTGTCAAGTTGATAACATTGTACTAATTCTGTTCAGTTCCACAATGATGGATACAGCTGGAAATGTGCTTAAGAAGTTTTAGTATTTCAAAAATGTTAAATGGTAATCACAGGTCCCGTTATACCAACTAGAAGAGATTTACAAGTATAAATATAAATTAGAATCTCTATGCCTCCATGCACACTGGCGTTAAAAAAAAATGCCAGTTCCCTTGGCAGAAACAAATGCTCGAACAGAGCGTTTTTGTGCACTTTTAGGTGTGTTTAGGAGTGTTTAGCATTTTTTTCTGCCAGAAAACTCCAATCACAATCCAGAAGGGTTTTTTTTTTCTGCCTCTATATGCTCAGCTTAAACTATGCCTCTAATCCTCCTATGTACATGGACACATAAAATAACATTGAGCTGCTTCTACAGGCAAAACTTCTATAGAAGCAACAATTTTTAAGCCAGTGTGCATGTTTCCCCAACCTCCAAGAACAGGTTTTCTATTTAAATTAGCTACATTTTGTATATTTCATATGAATATTACATATTCTTATATCCAGCCAGCAGCTAAAAGCTTTATACTCCATATTTTGTGGTTTTTTTTTCCTTATCTGCTGTTGAAGAAGCCTGTTTTTAGTGCTCAATAGCCCAAACTGTCATTTACACAGAGAAGCAGAGTCAGAGCAGTCACTCATCCCCTCTTCTCAATTCGTTCCAGTTATATTGAGAAGCATTATGCAATAAAAAGAGATAACTACAGTTGTGCTTTCTACACCCATAGCATTGTTTGCCCTTCACTAAACTTCACTTTAGTTCTTCCCGCTCTTTTCTTGATCTTGAACTGAATATGTAACCTTGCAAGCAGCAGATTGACATATTATTCCATTTGTTATGTACAGGTTTAATATTGTGCTAAGCAGGGCTTTTTTTCTCAGAGAAAAGTTACAGGAACTCACCCCCCTCCCCTAGGTCACACTTGTCTCTGCCCCTAGAGCCACCCCTAGAACTGCCCCCTTTAGAGAATAGGAAATCAAGTATAATTTGGTGGGCTAGCATGAGCCCTTAGAGCTGTTATTGAAGTAAAAGCAATAATGGACCCACTACAGCAAGAATAGATTCCTCCAGCACACAATAGACAGCCCCCCATATCCAGCAATAATAGATAGCTCCCCCCATATCCAGCAAAGTGGTAGCCCCCTATATATCTAGCAAAGAGACAGCCCCCATATATCTAGTAAAAAGACATCCATATATATTCAGCAAAGAGACATCCCCATATATCCAGCAAAGAGATGGCTGATCCAGTAGTGAGACATCCCCATATATCCAGCAAAGAGACAGCCCAATACAGCAAGGAGACACCCTCATACAGTCAAACAGACAGTCTAATGCAGCAGAGAGACATCCAAAATATTCAGAAAAGAGACATCTCCCTATATTCAGCCAACCTATTATTCATATAGGTTTACTGGGGTTTTAACAACACACTCCCACCTTGTTTTCACAGTCAGAGAACAGTGATCAGCTGTGGAAAGCCAGTTGATTTAATATATCATTCTTTATATGAATGTTCTGGTTTAAATAGAATATATATGGGGGAATTCAATAAGACACTACCAACAGTTTTCTTGCAGTATGGCCCTTTAAAATGGCTTGCACCAGATTTACAAAACCCTACTGCCCGTTTTTGATAATTTTATTGACATGTGCAGCAGATTCAGGTACAGTAGTTCCTAAATGCACCACTTTTTACAAAGTGACACTATTAATGCACTAAATTAAAAAATAATTATCTCTAGTTCGTAGATAACAAAACTGGAAGTAATTCAGGTCTACTCTAGCTTGCTGCACAGAGAAAGGCAGGGTGCCAGTCCCTGTACACAGTGTAGCACAGCAGCAAATATGCTGCTGCTACCTTCTCACTGTCACTGGTTGTTAAGGAGGTCATCGGCTTCACAGCCAACAGCCTCCTAACAACCAGTGATGCTGCAGTGGAAAAGTTGAGAAACTAGTTCCTCATCAGGTCTGTTCTTACTTTCTAATTGACAGAAGACAGTAGGACGATTCTATAGCCAATAGCGGGCTGTCTATTGGCTAAGGGTCAACCCACTGCCAAATTTTTAACCACAAGGGGAGTGAGGGTGGAGTGTCTCTGTATGAATGCTGTGGTCTCAGTGCACCTCCACACTCGGTGCATGCCCCAGATTCATGTACCTGGCTACAACAGGTACATGAATCTGTCACCCACACCAATATTTGTCACTCTGCTTACGTGCCTTTGTCACAGAACTGCTCCCTCACCACTGGGACAAAAGACCAAAAAATTATAGCCGGGCATTGCACCCAAGGACTAGAGGACACTAGCTTAAGTGCAACTGGAACTGTTTATTGAACAGAAATACAGGTTTTTATAAACTTCAGAAATAGGGGCAGTCCGCACATGAACAATAAAAACAAATATTACACATTGGGATAAACATCACACACTGATTAGTTAACAAGGTAAAGTTGACACCAGACTAATCCCATCATGAAGGGACCTCCAGGAGGACTAGCCAAAGGGACAGAAACAATAGGTGACTCAATTAACAATGGGACAAATACACATCAATAAACACGTTGCACATTGATAAACAGATTACAGCAAGGGACTTAAGCATCAGGTTGTTTTGAGCTGATTATATTAACATCTGCTTAGAGTCTAGGAGGGGGGTTGAAGCCGTCAATGGTGGTTTGGGCACAGAGACTCCAAATCTATATACTGGTCCTCCAATTCTCAGAGTCTGTGTGTTTTGCGGACACATGGTCTTGAATCCGAAGTAAAAGGTGCCTCCAGGCACACACTTCCCAAAGAACAGAACCCCCTCAAATACCAGGGCCCAGGGGTGGACTGACCATTTGGAAACTCTGGCACTGCCCGAGGGCCCGTGGTCAGTAGGGGGCCCCATGAGATGCCCCTGGTACCTTTTTCATAGGTTTTTTGAGCTTGGGCAAGGACACAGGGGCCCCATGAACCCCTATTGCCCAAGGGCCCCATGAGTTGTCAGTCCTCCCCTGCCAGGGACCATGGTCAGTAGGCAAGAGGCTAGCCTGCAGTACCCTCCAAAAGCCCCTGTCCTGGTTGGTTCTGTCAAATGAGGCATGGCACATTGGACACTATTTTTTTAATTCCTCTGGTAGTCTTTTTAACTGTTTTAAGTGTTGTACAGTGCATGAAAATTAGATAAGTTTTATGTAATAAATGTTTATAATTTTCAGTCATTACATATGCAGGCTCTGCTTTTTGATTTGCAGTCTAACACAATGGGGTTGATTTACTAAAGGCAAATGGGCTGTGCACTGCAAGTGCAGTTGCTTTAGATCTGAGTGGAAGCTCTGAAATGAGGCGAAGCTCTGCTGATTTCTTTCATCCAATCAAGTGCAAGAAAAAATGCTGTTCTTTTATTTTCCTTGCATGTTCCCTTCAGATCTAGAGCAACTGCACTTTCAGTGCACTTGCAGTGCACAGCCTATTTACCTTTAGTAAATCAACCCCAACGATTGTGCTTTGCTGCTCCTTCTCACACCGCAGTGCAAAGTAAGTTTGTGAGTCTACCAATGCATTGAAAACCATGCCCCCCCCCCCAGTTTGACTTGTATCTGAATTTAACAGTTGTTAAAACAGTGATGGTAAGTAGAATTAACCATTGAGTGTCTGCAGGCTGATCTATAAATCTGTATATCTAATACAAAACAAAAAGATGAAAGAATAAGCTTTTAATGTAAAAGTAAAAGTAGTATCAACATTTACTATAAGGTAATAGTAAAAATTATCGTTACAAATGTATTTTACGTAATTAGAAATGCACGTATTTTAACAGAAATGAAATAACATGCACACAATCTCTATCTCTGTTTTCTAAAACAATATGGAACTTACCAGTAATAGGTTTAGCACATGCAGTACACTTTTTGGCATACAGATTACCAAAGCACTCTAAACAGTATGGATCCTCATCTTGCTCTGTGAACTCTTGTCCCGCCAGCTTCTTCTTACAATTTGTACATACAAAGCATTCACTGTGCCATGGCTGATCTTGGAAAGAAATTCCTGATGTGATGATAGCCTTTTTAAAAAAAAAAAAATGAAAGGTACATGTCAGTGCTTTGCTACACTTAGATAATCAAATGAGAAATACAAACAGAAATATATTTAAAACAGAACTTCTGCCAAATATACCACGATAAAAATGAATTTCCCTCTTAAAGATAAAATAGCAAAACCATTTTGCTTTTTCTTCAACATTTAGCTCCAACCCAGATATATCCCCATCAGTACTTTTTGTCACTAAATGTCCTCAGTCTGAAAGATAGCATCATTCAATAGTGATGGGCCAAACACCCCCCTGTTTGGTTTGCGGTCGAACATTTGAACATACTGAAAGTTTGATCATGAACTTCGAACAGGGAAAATTTACTGAGTGGTATCTTACTGCATCTGAGTATGCGGTAAGATACCACTCAGCTAATAAAATACTCCATAAGTTATATTATTAATTATTTAACAAGGGGGCCCCCAGATCCCACCCCCCATCCCATGTGAATGAGTATGCGGTACCGCTGCCCATTCACAAAGAAAAAAGTGTAGTAAAAAATTATAGGAGACAGTCTTTGACAAGCCCCTTATTAAAAATAAAACAAAAAAAATGTTTCCTGAAGTAGATCCAATATCAATCACAATGCCCCCCACCACCACTGACCTAAAAAAAAAAGAAAAGAAAAAAAAAAAAACGCTCTGCTCTCTACATTGACTCACGGCCATCTGACAGCTGCACCGGAGTGACTGTTCTTAAATACTATGATCACGTCACAAGGGGGCGCCACCCTCTGTTTATGAGTCATTATGCGCTGTGAATGGCCAAAGCATTGCACCTGACCTGTGGTCAGGTGTATTGCTTTGGCCAATCACAATGCACTGTCAGGGCACAGTGCATTGTGGGGCACAGCGGGCAAATAGCCCACCGAACGCCCTTACCGTTCGGATGTTTGACTCAAACATGAAGCACATCTCTATCATTTAACCCTCTTCCTAACCCAGGTCATCCTAGACTAGCCTGTGACTGGACATTGAATGGAGAAGCTGTACAGTGATGAACTCATCTTTCCGTCACGCTGCTCACTTCTTTTATCAGCATGCTTCTTGCCAGCACAAAGTGACTCCTTGTACTACTTCTTCTTCTCACATTCCAGCCCTGCTATACAGGGACTGCAAGAGTCATATACCAGGTCAGATTCAGGTATTTCCATTCCTTTTTTTTTTTAAATACAGGCGTACCTCGGTTTACGAATTTAATACGTTCTGCGGGACTTTTCATATTGCGAAAAATTTGTAAACCGAAACACGGTTTCCCATAGGAATGCATTAAAAACCAATTAATTCGTTCTGGAGGTCAGAAGAAAGTTTAAAAAAAGTTTTATCGGTTCAAAACTCTTTATAAAGAGCACTTTAAAGGCATAAATAGTGTACAGGGACATGATTAAAAATTAATTCGTAAATGCATAGAAAACCAAATAATCTGTTCTGGAGGCCAGAAAAAAGTTTTAAAAAGTTTTATCTGTTCAAAACTCTTTATAAAGTACACTTTAAAAAGACATAAAGGGACATGATTAAAAAAAGAATTGTAAATGCATTGAAAACCAATTAATCTGTTCCAGAGGTCAGAAAAAAGTCAAAAAAAGTCTTATCTGTTCAAAACTCTTTATAAAATGCACTTTAAAGGCATAGTATTATACATGGACATGATTAAAAAAAAAATTGTAAATACATTGAAAATCAATTAATCCGTTTGTATTGCGAAAAAAATTTGTAAACCGAGCCATTATTTACAATGGATTTTCATTCGTAAACCAAAAATTACGTTAACCGTGGTGTTTGTAAACCGTAGTACGCCTGTACATTAAAATGATGTATCAAGGATTACAGAGCTGTATTGTTTAAAGTATGTTCTTTGTATCTGCCTGACAGTAATCTTTAACCACTTGCTGTCCGGCCGCTGTATATAAACGGCTGGAAGGTGGCAGTCCAGGGGTGGGTTGCCATTCATAAACGGCGCCCAACATTTTGGACCGTGCGCGCTCCCTGGGAGCGCGCAGCACTGCGATCCAGTGCCCGCTGTGTTCGAACACCGATTGTCCTACGGGACCTCTGGGCGAGGTCCCGATCTTGTGATCGCTGATTGGCCAATCAGCGATCACATGCAGAGTAGTAAGCAAGATGTCACTTCTAACATCATTGGTTACAACGTCTGAAATCTGTGAATGATCAGAGGTCACATGGTACAAGGCTATTCACAACAGCCTTGTACCATGTGACAAGCTGTGACCAATCACAGCTCACACAGTAGTTCTCAATGGCTGCAAGAATGCAGCCAGAGAGAAGGAGAAATGATTGCTTTTACAGCCTTTATGGGTGTAAAAGCAATCATTGTAAAAAAAAAAAAATCTTCATCACCCCCCCACAAGTAGTACAGTGTCACCATGGTGACACTATACTGCTAGGGTGACAGTATGTAGAAAAAAAAACATAAATAATAATATAAAAAAAAATATAAAATGTAAAAAAGAAATTAAAAAAAATAATTTGGGTTTTTTTTTTTTACTAAAAAGACACCGGAATAAATTTTGGGCAAAATTTATGATGAAATATTATATTATTTATTTGCAAAATTGACATTTTCTTTTATATAGCACAAAATATAAAAATCCCAGTGGTGAATAAATACCACCAAAATAAAGCTTTATCTGTCTCAAAAAAATGCTAAAAAATTCATATGGGTAGAGTGTTGCATGACCGCGCAATTGTCATTCAGTGTGATAGCGCTGAAAGCTGAAAATTGGCCTGGACAGGAGGGGGTAGAAGTGTCCGGACTTGAAGTGGTTAAGGTGTATCTAAAGGCAAAACTTTTTTTTTTTTAATTTTGGATAGAGTATCGAAGGGTTAAAAAAATGTTCAGGTTTTTTTTCTGCTGTCTGTGGATTTTTCTATGTTCAGGTGAATACTGCCATTGGGACAGAAAATTCCCCAATGGAACATAGATATAAAAGTCTTGGATTTAGACATACTTCAGGTATATGCACATAGGTGGCATGGCCTGTCAGCAGGGGCGGACTGACAAATCATGGGGCCCCCCGGGCAATAGGGGATCATGGGGCCCCTGTGTCCTTGCCCAAACTCCAAAAAGCCTATGAAAAAGGTACCAGGGGCATCTCATGGGGCCCCCTACTGACCCGAGCCCTCGGGCAGTGCCCGAGTTTCCAATTGGTCAGTCATTGCCTACCTGTCAGTGTCAATTCTTGGCATTTTCAGGTGCTTGAGATGCATCTGTATACAGCATCCAGCCTATCAAAATCTATGACAGACTGAAGTATCCTGTGGATTTATGCTGTACCAAGCAATACTCTAAATAAGCATTCATATGCATTCAGGGACATAGATTCTGAGTGCAGAATTCCTGCATTCAGGGCATACATCCCTGAAATCATATGGTCCTATACCACAGTACTGCTTAGCACAGCGTCATTTTTCACTCGGTCATAGATTTTGATAAACAGCTGGCAGCAGGGCTGGACACTGCACCTGTGGCTCCTGGGCACCCAAAAACACCAGAATTCAATGCAGAGTGTTCAATCCGCCTGTGCCAATGAGGCCTTAAAAGCCACCTTCACCTTCCCACACACTTCTGCCTGTAGGCAAGCCCTCAGTATCGTCACTTATAATGCAAGACTGATGGTCCTGCTTAGTATATCATAATGTCACAGCTGTGACCACCAGTCAAAGCGCCGAAGTGAAGCGGCTGCAAGACTGGACACATTGAAGAAGGAGCCTGCGGGAGCAAGGAAGATACTATAACTAAACATGCTTTTTACTGGCACTTTAGGCAAGGGTAGCCCTACTGCAAAGGTATTTTTTCCCATTTCGCCTGAGATCAGCTATAAAGCATAGTGGAAAAGGGAACACACTGGGTTGCACAGAAATGACCTCTTTAATCATTTAAAACACAAATTGTTGCACTTTGAGAATTAAAATTTGGTACAGAATTAATAGGCTGAAGTTCCTGCAGGCTCACATCAAACGCCCGTGTAGGGAGGCAATCAGACACCTCTGTAATGACTTCAAAGGTAGAAGATGCAGATGGCGCGCACTTACATGGTTAGAGTGAAAAACTGGACATTGAAAACTAAAGCGCTGTATACCTTGTTTTAATTCTGTAAATGCAACTATTTGTTTTTTAATCTATTAAACAAGTTGATTTCTTCACAATCTCTTTTTTGCCATATTTTAGCCTTCTTCCTGCAGCATGTGGGAATGCCGTGAGCTTGCATGGATAAGCAGGTTGCAGACTGTGCCCACCAGTTAACGTGTTCTTTGTAAAGTTTTTTATTAGTGATATGGTCCATGGACTATTTTCACAAGCATAACAGCCAAGAAATTTCAGATCCTGTTGCTGTATGCAATAAATATTTTTTCATTAGGTTGGATGAAGGAGCGGACTGACAACTCATGGGGCCCCTGGTCAATAGGGGATCATGGGGCCCCTGTGTCCTCGCCCACACTCAAATAACACCCAAAAAAGCCTATGAAAGGTACCAGGGGCATCTCATGGGGCCCCCTACTGACCCCGGGCCTCAGGCAGTGCCCGAGTTCCCAAATGGTCAGTCCTCCTCTGGTTGGATGTATACTCTAAGATGCCCATACACACATTAAAGTGGGGTTGAGACTTGTACAATGTGTTAACACATGCACATTATGGAGAGTTTTTATGTGTATGATGTTAAGGCAGCCCATTCAACTTGAATGTGCTGCTGATGCATCCAAAGTTAGACCTGAACATTTTTTTGGGAATGCAACACACAGTAGTGCATTGCAACAGGCTACAGAGCAGGTACATTACTTTAGTCCGTTGGGGTGCCAAAAAAAAAAGAAATAGGTCAGCACAACAGTTTAAACCTGGCCTTACAAGGTGTAGAAAAGCTGTGACATCGTTATATTAACAAGTGTAAGAGAACACAATAAATATTTTTCAGTTGAAAAAAATGTAATATACTATACAATGAATCATCTAAAAGTAATGCTAATATAACTTAGATACAAATGTACCAATTTTTGCAAAAAAAGTTATGTTATCTTTTTCTATAACAGTTCTGATTCTCAAATGTAAATGGAAGAGATGTGTTGGATTTCAGCAAAGCTTTTAACCTCCTTGGCGGTATGATTCTTTCCGATTTTGTGTGCTGAAAGCGGTACCATTTTTTTGCATGGAAATATATAGTTTTTTATTGTAGGCTGTAATTTTTAGGAATAACTCACTGAAATCTGTACGAACAAGAGTCTAGTAAACATCCCGGGTATGATAAAATTTGAAACACAAAATCATAAATTATAATTTAATAAATAATCATAAAAAATAATATAATAATACATTTAATTCAATAATATAATCAAACCAAAAACACTGAAATTTGAAATACAGAGGCAAATTCGCACATCGCTGAGCAAAGTCGCAAAATCGTTTTCAGTGTCTGATGACAAATTTCCCCATGAATAATTATCACTCAATTCTGCAAGTGGTTCTGATTTACTATCGCTGTTCTAAAACCGCTTTTGACGTAAAGGGACACTTTTTGGACGCCATGGACTTTTCTAAGTTTCCAGGAAGAAAGAACAGCCAAAATGCAGGCAGGGCACAGGACAAAGCAGTAGGGACAAAATATATGTGAAATGCTTTGAAACAGCAATGACAGCAAAAATTACATTTTTAAAAATTTCAAATTTCCCACCGGTTCCGGCGCCCGTACGTCCGACATCACAGGGACCAGAACACAGAAGCCGGATGCCGGCATCGGCCAGAGGAGATGGCCGGGGATGCTGCAGGGGACACATCGCGGGAGCGAAGGACAAGGTAAGTGCTGCAGGGAGCCCCAGAGCAACGCCTGAGTGTAGCTCGGGGTTACCGCTCTTGGTATAGAAATTTTACCCCGAGCTACACTCGGGATTACCGCTAAGGAGGTTAAACAAAAAAGCAACATTTTAATATTTTCTGGGACTATGTTTTTTAATTCAACCATCTAACAGTGTCAAAAGTAGCAATGATGTGTACATGGCAATGACCCCTGGCATGCAGTCATATTTCAATGTTAATCATTTAGAGACTGCTAATTGGTTGCTGTAGGAGACTACATTTATTTATTTATTTCAGGTACTTATATAGCGCTGTCAATTTATGCAGCACTTTACATATACAGTCAGGTCCATAAATATTGGGACATCGACACAATTCTAAATTTTTTGGCTCTATACACCACCAAAATGGATTTGAAATGAAACAAACAAGATGTGCTTTAACTGCAGACTGTCATCTTGAGAGTTGACAGCAACAGATTCCAAATGCAAATAGCACACTTGAAATTAACTCTGGACCTTTTATCTGCTCATTGTTATTGGGATAATGAGGGAATAACACACACCTGGCCATGGAACAGCTGAGAAGCCAATTGTCCCATTACTTTTGGTCCCTTAACAAGTGGGAGGCACATATGCAAACTGTTGTAATTCCTACACCATTCACCTGATTTGGATGTAAATACCCTCAAATTAAAGCTGACAGTCTGCAGTTAAAGCACATCTTGTTTGTTTCATTTCAATCCATTGTGGTAGTGTATAGAGCCAAAAATGTTAGAATTGTGTCGATATCCCAATATTTATGGACCTGACTGTATATTGTACATTCACATCAGTCCCTAACCCTCAAGGGGTGTACAATCTAAGGTCCCTAACTCACATTCATACATACACATACTGGGGCCAATTTAGACAGGAGCCAATTAACCTACCAGCATGTCTTTGGAGTTTATTTGGGGTTCATTCTGAAAACCCACACTGTCACATGGAGAACATGCAAACTCCAGGCAGGTGGTGCCATGGTTGGGATTTGAACCAGCGACTCTAGTACTGCCAGGTGGAAGTGATAACCATTTAGCCACTGTGCTGCCCATTCTCCCAAATGCTTATTGTCTTACCCCCATACACTTTCTTTCAGTAATATCTGAGCATTTTCAGAAAACAATGTCTGATAGAATTGAATGATGATCATATTTAAATTGTTCCTGAACTTTTTACCTTTTTGCAAGATTTGCAGTGACTCGCAAACTGATTTTCAAAACATTGCACACAGTATAAACTGGATTGTTTTGGAATAAACGGCTTGCTTCCTAGGGGCTTCTGACAACTTTCACATACAAAGCATGTTTCATGCCAGCTACACCCCTTGTACTCCATTTTACGAGAACCTGCAAGAAGAAATATGTAAAGTATGTGAAAAGAAAGGTACACAATTAAATATTTTATTCTCTCTATAAAGACATATATTCTTATAACAACCATTGTAGCATAGCTTGGTTTTGAGCAAGTATTTCCTATAGTCCATTATAGTAGTTCTAATTTATTTGGCAATAAAGGAAGTAAGGAAGAGTATTAGTTTCATTTCATTGCTGACTTGGGACTTTCCTTATGATGCTAATAGGCTCAGCAACAGGGAAAATGATTCAAAACAATCAATCATCAACAGCTACACAACGTGTAATCGTCTTTAATAGGTAGACTGTACTGGAGCACAACGGTAGGCTTTCATTTCACTATTAGCTGCTATCTTACAGAGCTCTCAATTAAAACCCAAATCTGGGCTATTTTTTAATGTCCTCCAGCAGCAGTGTTTGCTGCAATATCACATTCAATCTGTCCCCCCACAGAAATCCTTTTTAGTCACTAGATGTCCTCAGTCTTTCATATTGATTGTTGAAGATTGCAGTGGTACTCACCTCCTCTCTGGTCAGTACCCCCTCTACACTACATGTTGTCTTCTTTCTTCTGGGTTGAATGATGTCCAGCATTGATCAACCCCAAGACTCAGGGCATACTGTAAATATGTCTGCAGTAAGTATGCACTGTGGGTGCATCACCTCCGCGCCCTGCATCATTCAACCCCAAGGTTGGGGACATACTGTGAAAATCTATACTGTAAGTATATACTGTGAACACATCATCACAGCACCCTGCACACGCCATGTGATGACGCAAAGAGTGCTACCGATGTCATCATCTCAGCTTCTCTCTCTGGAACACCAAAGAAGAATTATAGGGTTACTAAAATAACAAATATGCTGATTGGAAGATATGATCTAAGTTGATGTTCAGTTAGGGACTTTAGATTGTTAGCTCCTTGAGGGCAGGGACTGATGTGAATGTACAATATGTATATGTAAAGTACTGTGCAAATTGACAGCACTCTATAAGTACCTGAAATATACTCCTGCTAATTCTGAACCCACATACTAATAAAACCTCCAGGACACTGGGGCATGTCCCTACATATAAGTCATACTCTCATATTATCTCTCTCTCACCCTTCTGCTTCTCCTAACATCTGGAAACATTTCCCCAAATCCTGGGCTGCCATCATTTTCCTTTGACCAACACACCTGACACCCCCTATCCTCTAACAGCGACCACAATCCACACAATCTGGTTATTATTGCTCCTCTTCCTAGAACCAGCCTCCCTTTTTCCTGTGACCTTTGGAATGCCTGCTCTGTCTGTAACAAACTCATCTCTGTCCATGACCTTTTTATCACAAACTTCTTTAACCTACTTGCAATTTCTGAAACCTGGCTTCACGAACTGACTTTCCCTTTTCTGCTGCCATCTCCGATGGTGGCCTTCTCTGGACTCCCTCTCCTAGTGGACAGAAGGGAGGTGGAGCTGGAATCCTGCTTTCCCCTCAAAGCACTTTTCAGGTCCTTCAGTCACCTCCCTCTCTGTCCCTCTCCTCATTTGAAGCTCACTGTATTAATCTATTCTCTCCAGTTTCTTTAAAAATTACTGTGATCTCTAGGCCTGCTGGACCGGTATCAAGGTTCCTTAGTGCCTTTTCTGCCTGGCTGCTGTACTTTCTCTCTTCTGAAATTCCCACAATCATTCTCGGTGACTTCAACATCCCTGTTAATATTAACACTACTGCTACTTCTAAACTTCTGAGCCTAACTTCCACTTTTGACTTAAAACAATGGACACACACTTCTACTCACTCTGATGGTAACTGCCTTGACCTTCTCCTACCTATGCACTCCTTGCAACCTCACCAACATTCTTTTTCCTCTCTCTGATCACTACCTTATTAGGTTAACTTTCTCCTTGTCTTCCTCCTTGCCTTCCAACCAGGGGCAGACTGACCATTCAGGCTCTCGGGCACTGCCCGATTGCCCAGGGTCAGTAGGGGGCCCCATGAGATGCCCCTAGTAAGTTTCGTAGGCTTTTTTGGTTGTGGTTTTGACTGTATGTGAGGACACAGGGGCCCGTGATCCCCTATTGCCCGGGGGCCCCATGAGTTGTCAGTCCGCCCCTGCTTCCAACTACCTAACAGTTACCCATAGAAACCTTCGCCATCTTAACCCCTTTCTTGTTTTTTTCTGCAACAGATTATCTCTATGACACAATCTCAGCCCTGTCCTGCCCCAACCTGACCACTGCTGTCTACAATAGTTCACTGTCATCTACCCTGGACACATTGCCCCCCCCTCCCCCCCACCCCCACTGCACAGAGAATCAGGCCCCCCGACCACTACAACCCTGGTAAACAGACAATACCAAATGCCTCAAAATACATATAAATCTGCCCTCCAAAAATACAATTCTTGCCATCACACTACCAAACAGACCTATTTTATCAGTCTCATTAACACCCTCTCACGCAATCCCCATCAACGCAATCAATACTTCCCTTTTTTAACCCAGCTACTACAGAGGAAGTCACTAAACTTTTTTTCTAATGCCCACCTAACCACCTGTCTCCTGGACTCTGGTCCCTCGCACATACTATGGTCACCCTCTGGCTCTATCCTACACTCTGTGAATCATATCTTCAATCTCTCCCTTTCTACTGGCATCTTCCCCAACCATCTACAACATGCACTAGTAACCCCCATACTTAAAAAGACCTCAATGGACCCCACCAATCTTAACAACCTAAGAGCCATCTTCTTATTCCCTTTTGCCTCCAAACTCCTTGAACATCTAGTCTCAACCAGCTGAGCTGCCACCTCATTGACACAATAACCTTCTTGATCCCCTTCAGTCTGGATTTTGCCCACAACACTCCACATAAACTGCTCTCCTAAAACTCACAAAGGACTTACTAACAGCTAAAACCAACAGTCACTATTCCTTACTCTTACTCTTGGTCCTATCCGCTGCCTTTGATACAGTTGACCACCTCCATGGATTAGTGATGAGTCAAAATGCCCATGGTACAAATTTAGGGTAAGTTTGCAAACTTAGAGAAAGTTCAAGTGCTGAATCTGAACCCTATTGAAGTCAATAGGAATGTTACTGTATACAACCTACTATAGCAAAACTGACATTTACAAAGAAAAAATACAGTTTAAATTACTGGTAATTGACTAGTCCTGAGAATTCTCTTAATCTATATCAGATTCTTGTCCTGGATGGCATGGAGTCCCCTCCCTATTCCAGACTCCTAGGCAGGTAGTCTACTTCTCTTCAGATTATTTACTTTCCAGTTTGTTAATTGATAATAATAAACTATTAACATTTCTATTTCTGAAAGCATTCTTAATCTACAGCATTTTTTCACACTTGCCTATGATTTTTGCACAGTAATATATAATATATATATATATATATATATATATATATATATATACACAGTGGATATAAAAAATATGCCCCTTTTAAAATGTCAGGTTTCTGTGATGTAAAAAAAGAGACAAAGAGAAATCATTTCAGAACTTTTTCCACCTTTAATGTAGCCTATACCATAAGCTGTACCACTCAGTTGAACAACAAACTTAAATCTTTTAGGGGTAGGGAAGTAAAAATAAAAAACTAAAATAATATGGTTGCATAAGTGTGCACACCCTTAAACTAATACTTTGTTGAAGCACCTTTTGATTTTATTCCAGCACTCAGTCTTTTTGGGTATGAGTCCATCAGCATGGCGCTTCTTGACTTGGCAATATTTCCCCACTCTTCCTTGCAAACACTCCAAATCTGTAAGGGAATCTCCTGTGCACAGCCCTCTTCAGATCACCCCAGAGATTTTTCGATTTGCGATTGGATGCAAGTCTGGGGTCTGGCTGGGCCATTCCAAAACTTTAATCTTCTTCTGATGAAGCCATTCCTTATCTTGATTTAGATGGATGCTTTGGGTCATGGTCATGCTGAAAGATGAAGTTCCTCTTCATGTTCAGCTTTCTATCAGAAGCCTGAAGGTTTTTTACCATCTAATGACTGGTATTTGGAACTGTTCATAATTCCCTCTACCTTGACTAAGGCCCCAGTTCCAGCTGAAGAAAAACAGATCCAAAGCATGATGCTGCCACCACCATGCTTCACTGTGGGTATGGTGTTCTTTTGGTGATGTGTAGTGTTGTTTTTGCACCAAACATATCTTTTGGAATTATGGCCAAAAAGTTCAACCTTGGTTTCATTAGACCATAACACATTTTCCAACATGGTTTTGGGAAACTTCAGGTGTGTTTTTGCTAAATGTTTGGATGTATTTCTTTGTAAGAAAGAGCTTCCGTCTTGCCACTCTACCCCATAGCCCAGACATATGAAGAATATGGGATATTGTTGTCACATGTACCACACAGCCAGTACTTGCCAGATATTCCTGCAGCTCCTTTAATGTTGCTGTAGGCAAGGTTGGCAGCCTCCCAGACCAGTTTTCTTCTCGTCTTTTCATCAATTTTGGAGGGATGTCCAGTTCTTGGTAATGTCACTGTTGCGCCATATTTTCTCCACTTGATGATGACTGTCTTCACTGTGTTCAATGATACATCTAATGCTTGGAAATTCTTTTGTACCCTTCTCCTGACTGATACCTTTTAACCACTTGCATTCCAGAGGATTTACCCCCCTTCCTGACGAATACAGCGCTGAGTTACTTTAACTGACAATTGAGCAGTCATGCAAAGCTGCACCCAAATGAAATTTATGTCCTTTGTTTCCCACAAATAGAGATTTCTTTCAGTCGTATTTGATCTCCTGTGCGTTTTCTTTTGCGCTATATACAAAAAATGACCGACAATTTTTTTGAAAAAAAAAACCCCCAATATTTTTGACTTTTTGCTATTACACAAGTCCAGTAAAAACAATTAAATTTCGTCATAAATTTAGGACAAAATGTATTTTGCTACATGTCTTTGCTAAAAAAAATCTCAATATGTGGAAATTAATTGGTTTTCGCAAAAGTTATAGTGTGTACAAATGGAGCTATATATACAAAAATTTTTTTTTTTACTAGTAATGGCGGCGATCAGTGACTTATAGGGGGACTACGGTGGCCAATCTGACACTGGGGGGAACTGCCTTGGTGTCACTGACATCCCCAGTGACAACAATACAGTAATAAGTGGTAATAAAAAGCACTGACACTGTACTAATGACACTGGGCAGTAAGGGGTTAACATGTGGGGCCATCAAAGGGTTAACTGTGTGCGGTGTGCTGTTTTACTATGTGGGCTGTGTGTGCTTTACACTGTAAGATGCAAGGTCATACAAAGCAGTGTGCAGGAACTGACAGGGGAGAGATCTGTATTGTTTATATACCAGTCTCTCCCCTGTCTGTAATACTCTTGTGCGCCCCCTACCCAGAACTGCAAAATCACATACATAAACGTGATGTTGCGCACTCGTGCTGCCCTGTAGTAGTATTTCTGCTATAGGGCAGTATGGAAGCTGTTAACAATGAGATCCCTCTGATGTTTTGGAAGCTCTCTGTTGACCATGGCTTTTGCTGTAGGATGCGACTAAGAAATTATCAAGAAAAGACCTACTAGAACAGCTGAACTTTATTTGGGGTTAATCAGAGACACTTTAAAATGATGTCATGTGTGTACTGACTCCTATTTAACATGATTTTGAAGGTGATTGCTTAATTCTGAACACAGTTACATCCCCAGTTATAAGAGGGTGTGCACACTTATGCAACCACATTATTTTAGTTTTTTTATGTTTACTCAAAATACATACAGTATTAAGGCCTTTAAAAAAGGATGGCAAACTTAAAATATTTTGTTTTCTTTTGCAAATGTCAGCGCTTAAAATAAAAATCATTGCTCCTGGCCAAATAGAATATTTTTTAAAAAGCTACTTTTTCTTTGCATATTATCCAAAAAAATGGGCATATTTTATTTGAAAAATTCAGCTTTCAGGGTTTCAGTGGTGTCTGGCATCTGAATCTCTTTGACGTTCACAGAATTCTGCTCAAACTGATTTCAAGGACTATGGAGTGATTAGCCTTTATGTTATAGAAGTGGGAGAGTGGGGGGTCTGAGCAGTATGGCACCAGAAAACTAGGCAGGACTGACACCACTCAGTCCATAAAAAAGCTGTGTGTTGTCAGCCCACAGCAGGACTTCGTAACTGCATTACTTGCAGGGTCTTTCAAGGGATAAAACATTGGGAAATGTGCTTTTTTTTTAAATTTTCTTTCAACATACACTTTAATGAATATGGTAAAGTTATTTTCACTTTTATTATCCAATAATGCCAGCATACTTTTCCCTTATTCACTGTTCACTGTTATGTGAACATTTGCCCAGAAAAGTGAAAACTGTAATTCCTAAGTAGAATACAGGTTGTGTAAAGGTGATAAACATAGACTTACAGGGTTAGTCATTACTTCATATTACCCCTGTTTCCAGAAATCAATCATTTGTGGTGGAGAAGTCTTACCAGGCATTATGGTGGCCTTGCAGTTGAAGCATTTGGAGGAATACTCATTGGAATAGCAATCGATGCACAACAGCAGTTCATCCTTGGCAGCAAATGGTTTCTCTACCAAAGAGCAAGTGCATTTGGCACACTTGAAACAAGATTCATGCCAGTGGCTGTCTTTGTAGGCGAGATCCTTGAAGATAAACACATAAAACCATTGATGGACAAATAAAATACATCTTTGTAGCTTGAAATGTAACATAAATATTCCTCAGTGGTTATTGATTTTGATATGGTAGTTGATTGATCATTTTACTACTATTTATAAGAAGTAAAGCTAGCTCCCTTCCCTAAAGTGGAACTTTGGAAATTATTAAGCAGTAAAACTTCCTGTACCTCCAGTGGATGATGAATATAGTGCTTGCTTTTCTAGGGGTTTATTTAATCCTATTGGATCCTGCAGTCCATTCCTCGACTTGCCAGCACCAGAATGTGGGTGGGCACTCCTACGTCATCAATTACAATACCACAAGTACAAAAAACATTAGAAGAATAGCAATAATCCCAGCTTCAGGGGGGCAGAAATCATAACCTGAACTAGCAATGTGAAAGACTGCAGGACCATGGATTAAGGTAAGTATCTTTATTAGATTACACAAAAAAATGTAACTGCGCAAATCCCCCACTTCTACAATGTACAAAGCTGCAAACACTTTACCAGGATATCCTCTCTTAATGTAAACAAATTAAAAAACTATAAACGTTGCGCTATGTGAAAAAAAATCAATAAATGAAATACACATAATAAATGTGAAAACAACCATAAACATAGTGAGTGAACAAATTAGTGTATAAAGACATTAAGGTATATAGTCCATATACAGGGCTATAAAGTGCACGTGAATGATGACCTCCAGAAATTAATTTGTGAGACGGATTTTTTGTTCCTTGAATATAGTGTTGATTATATAAATTCTCTTCAATTAATCACCAATCATGTGCAAACCACCACCGTGTGAATAAATGAGAAGACCCCTTAACTACAGGGGGTCATTATCAGCTTTATGTCGATGAATTATCATCCAGACTTCCATAACCTGTCAGAACCAGGGGCAGACTGACAACTCATGGGGCCCCCTGGCAATAGGGGATCATGGGGCCCCTGTGTCCTTGCCCAAACTCCAAAAAGCCTATGAAAAAGGTACCAGGGGCATCTCATGGGGCCCCCTACTGACCACGGGCCCTCGGGCAGTGCCCAAGTTTCCAAATGGTCAGTCCGCCCCTGGTCAGAACCCAAGATCTCTCAAATCGTGTCAGGACCCAGAATCCCCATACATCAATGAGCCATCCCCATTGCGGTGTCAGGATAGTGTCATGGAAAATAAAACATGCTTCTCATAGTGCAATACGAACAATGTACCTTTATTTGCACAAATAAAATCCTACCTACAAAGAAATGAAAGCATTAAAAAAAAAAAACGCTTCCAAGATGGCAGACAGCACAATGACATCAGAGGGAGGCTCCGCCCCAAACGTTTCATCATCAGAAGATGGGCAAAGCCTCGCTCTGACATCATTGCGCTGTCTGCCATCTTGGAAGCATTTTTTTTGTAATGCTTTCATTTCTTTGTTAACCTGTAACTAGGATTTTATTTGCACAAATAAAGGTACATTATTCGTATTGCACTATGAGAAGCATGACATGACACTATCCTGACACCGCAATGGGGATGGCTTATTGACGTATGCGGATTCTGGGTCCTGACACGATTTGAGAGATCTTTGGTCCTGACAGGTTATGGAAGTCTGGATGACAAGACTGCTCTAACTGCTGATGAGAAAAGGTATTTAGCAGTTTATATTTACTAAAATAATTGCATTTCCATGTTCTGTGTACTGTGGGAGAGCAGATATAATGAATGCAGGGTTTAGTAACACTTTAAAAAGTGTTAGCTGGAGTTCAGTTTTAGTTTGTTAGTCAAATCCATCTACATCTTCCATTACTCCTCCATAGTGTGGAGCCACCCTAAACCTGACCATAGATGGATTTTTTTTTGTTAATCAGCCAGCGGGCTGATAAAAAAAAAAGAAATTAACAGATTTCCCCATCCATACATTTAAAGTAGATAGAGGAATCCTCCCCGCTTTGATATTGTATTCTGACAGCAGGAGTCCACCGTGATCAGTATACACTGATCAGCGCTGCAGCCGATTGACTGCATGCGCTGATTGAAAGAAAATTTTCCAAGAATCTGATGATTAAATTTCTCTCAAGCCATAAGGACACAGGTTGGTCAAAATTTGTTTGGCCTTTGCTAAAAATTTGTTTCGGCCAATTTTCAATCCATCTATGGCCAGCTTAAGATAAGCAGTGTGTTACTGGCTAGATCACCAGATGAAAATAAAGAGAAAAAAAGCTTAAAAAAAGAAAATTAATGCAGTCATCACATTTAAGGACTGATAAGCTGAAATATACAAATTTTTTTTTTTGGGGGGGGGGGGGGGTTAATATCGCTCTAAGCAGTACAGTCTTTAACAATGCTACATAAACTGAGATAAAGCCACTCGGCTACATAGAGGCAACTATTCTTCAAAAGACTGAGCAGACTGACAGACCTGAACTGAAGGAAGTGAGCATTAAAACATAAGTACAGCCTTTGTATCAAATGAGTGAATACAAATATTTCCATATGCATATACTGTCAGTGGCGTCCCTAGGCAGGTGTGGGGGGAGCACGCTGCACTGGGTGACACCTGTTGCACGGGGTGACACCAGACCCGCTCCGCGAAAAGGTAAGTTTTAAAGCAAGCCGACGATCATCACAGGATGGATCAGATCTGCGGATTGAGCATAATGGATCGGAGTCTGATCCATTATGCTCAATTCGCAGATCCGTTCCATCCTGCGGGGATCATCGGCTTGCTTTAAAATGTACCTTTTCGTGGAGCTCGTGGAGAGATCAGTTAACCCCATATAGGTTGCAAGCAGATGATCCCCGCAAGATGGATCGGATCTGTGGATTGGGGAAGATAATGGATCGGACTTCTATCGATTATGCTCAATCCGCAGTTCCGATCCATCCTGCGGGGATCGTCGGAGGGGGTGTCACCAAGTTTTACCGCACCGGGTGACACCAACCCTAGGGATGCCTCTGTATACTGTATATATTTAGAAAATATTCATAGAAACAAAGGAATGTAGGGTAAAAGATTTCATTTAGAAGGAATCCGTCACCTAGTACAAGATGTTTGAACTTTCAGTAATTCAATAATTGGATAACTTAACTTGTTTCTGACAAAATGTGGCAGTGTACACTTTATTATTACAATATGATGAAATTCAATCTGGGCAAATCCTCTCCAGTTTATCCTCTGTGCTATGTAGGCACAGAGCAATTTCTTGACGGTTGACGTCCATGCTGCTTGTATACAGTTGGTTAGCTACTCCTTGCAAAAGTTTGGGAGAAGTAAATGAAAGGGACCAAACTGATGATTGCCAACTGCTGATTAGTTAGCAACATCCACCTAAATTTAAAAGTAAAAAAAAAAAAAATGCATTGTAGCTAGCCATACAATAAACAATTTTCTTATTCAATATCCTTTAGATTTACCTTCAACTATGTAATGCAAAGGCCTGCATGACTGCATACAAACTGAAAATGTTTAGGGTTGATCTCATATTATATGGTTTTGGTAAATCTAAAGGAAAATTGAAAAAGACAATTGTATGATGTATGGCCAGCCTTAGTGTGATATACAATATTTGATCTTATCTCACTTATTCCGTATATATAAGGCAGACAGGTTGTTTAAAACGAGGTCCACATAAATGTCTGTATTACCTTGGAGTCACATTCAATGGGTTTTTTACATCCTTCACATATATTCGCAAAAAGGTTTTCAAAGCATTTGATGCAGTAGGGATTGTCATCCTTAACAGTGTATTTCTTTCCATAGAGAGATTCCTCACAGCTCTGGCAGTCAAAGGCCTCGTTATCCATGGCAGAGTGACAACTGAATACAAGGAAATATTCTGTTAATAGTATAGATTACTGGAGAGCTATGAAATGACTTTATTTGGATTTTGGTATACTATAGAAAATATATGCTTTATATTCATTTGGTGCACCTAATCTTTCGACATTTAGCCTGGGTTCACATATATGCGGTGCGGTATGTCGCATGTGATTCGCACAGGAACCGCACCACATTCCTGTGCAAATCACATGCGATTTGTGTGCGGTGTGATTGGAGCAATACATTTTGCATGGCTCTAATCGCACCGCATCTGCAACAAAAAGGAGCAGGACCCTTTCTTGGGTCCGCACTAGAATCGGATCTCATGGGTATTCACACCAATGCGATCCCATTCTGCACATCGCACCGCGTTTTGTGGACTGCTTTCAGGGTGTTGTTAACTTAATATACATACCCGCAGCGGTTCGCATGAACGGAGTGCAATTCTGATGCAGTGCAGAATTTGCACAGAAAATGCTGCAAATTCCGCACCGCTTTAGCGTGAACCCAGGACTAAATAAGCTTTCATTAGATTTTTAGGATACAGAAAAGTACACAAATATGGACAATACACAATTATTTGCTCAAACTCTAACAGTCAGTATCACAGGGGTCACATTCAGGGTAGGTTCACACCTAAGCAGGTTGCGTTTGAGCGTTTCTACATTGCGTTTTGTGTTGAATTTTGCGTTTTTCCGCTTGCATTTTTCCAGTTTTTTGAAATTTTCTTGTTGCTAGGCAGATTTAAAACACAAAATGCATCACAAACGTGCCAAAAACACAGCAAAAACACAATACATGCTTTTCTGCAGCGTTTCCATTGAAGTCTATAGAACCAGAAAGGCCACTTTTTGCGTTAAAAATTGTCCCTGACCCTTTCCCAAAAAAACGCACCAGATGAAAAAGCACAGATGTGGACATGTCCCATAGGAAATCATGTTAAATGGATTGTACTGTGTTTTTGCAAAACGCAAAACACTGCAGAAAACGCTTAGGTGTGAACCTACAGTAAGCACACTGACCCTAGTATATACAGTACTTATAAAAAACTGCTGTTCTGAGAGCAGCATCTATAAATGAGGCTTTCAGCCCTGGTTCGCACTGATGTGGTGCGGCACACCGCATGTGATTTGCACAGGAACCACACCGCGTTCTTTGATCCACAATTTCTGTGTGGTACAATTTGAACCATATATACTGCATGGCTTAAATTGCACTGCATCCACAGAAATAGTGCAGGACCCTCTTTTTTGTTTGCACCAGTATTAGTTTGCGTGTGTGTTCACACCCACGCGATCCAATTCTGCACATCGTACCGCATTTTGCAAACTGATTTTGGGGTGTTGTTAACTTAACCACTTGCCCTCCTGAGGATTTACCCCCTTCATGACCAGACCATTGTTTGTGGTATGGCACTGCGTTACTTTAACTGACAATTGCGCGGCCATGCAACACTGCACTCACATTAAATTTCTATCCCTTTTCCCCCCAGCTTTTTTCTTGCCTGTGCGTTTTTTCTATAAACAAAAAAAACCCGGCAATTTTGAGAAAAAACAATATTTTGGACTTTTTGCTATTAAACATGTCCTGTAAAAAAATTTTAAAAATAAAATTTCATTATAAATGTAGGCCAAAATGTATTCTGCGACATGTCTTTGCTAAAAAAAATCCCAATATGTGTAAATTAACTGGGTTTTATGTGAAAGTTATAGCATTTACAAATGGCAGTATAGCTAATGGGATTTTAAAAAATGTTCCTACTAGTAATGACGGCGATCGGTGACTGTTAGCGTTACTGCGGGACTGCACCGGACATTCTGACACTGGGGGGAACTAACTTGGTGTCACTGACATCCCAGTGACACCAATACAGTGATCAGTGCTAAAAAAAAAAGCACTGACACTATTAATGGCACTGGGCAGGAAGGCATTAATGTGAGGGGCAATCAAAGGGTTAACTATGTGCTGGAAGTGTTTTACTAGGGGGCGGGGGGTGTGTGTGTGTGTGTTCTTCACTGTAAGCACACTGATCGGGATGGCTGTACTGTGCACAGCCATCCCGAGCAGTGTGCTTGAGCTGACAGGGAGGAAGATTGTTTGTAAATAAAACCGCACCCCGTAAATAAACCGCACCCCATCTGCTCCTCCTTAAGCTGACAAGGTAGGGGCCAGAGCTGTACACATGTCATGGCCATGATGCATTGTTTCATGATAGCGGTAGGCAGGGGCGGACTGACAACTCATGGGGCCCCCAGGCAATAGGGGATCATGGGGACCCTGTGTCCTTTCCCAAACTCAAAAAAAGCCTATGAAAAAGGTACCAAGGGCATCTTGTAAGCCGTGTACCGGGGTGTGCTCCCCAGGATACAGTGAAGTCACGAACGAGGAACAAAAAGCAACCCCAACACCAGCTTTTGCCACAACAGAATTTTACTTAGATGTGGCAAATAAACACAACCACAAATGCTGGAATTTACATACACCCAGCCCAAAGGCTGAGACCCTTGTGCTGCACAGCACGGCGCCTTCTGATGGATGAAGGTAGAAGGTGTAGTAATTTATCTACTGGTGGGCACAACTAAGCTGCCACACCTTACCTGTTATTACCCTAAAAGAGCAGGAATCAGTGTATGGGTGTATGGTATGGGCTAGCCTGCGGTGCAGCACAACAGCTTACAATCTTACACAAATCTACAGTATTCCCCCTCCCATAACTGGTCCTGTAGCACGTGCCTGAGTATTCCTTCTGAGCAAAACAACAGTCTAGCTTGAGTTTGTGGGATGTTATTAGCTCTCCAATGTGAAATGTCACTTTAAGTTGTGGAGTCCTTCCAATGATCAGTAATAACACTTGTGGCCTGACACAAACAGAGACCCTAACTAACAAACTATAGGCCTGTCTCAGTCCTATAAGCGCCAACACTGAAATGAGGTGCGTGCATGATCTTACCGACCCGGGTCTGCTTTGTATCTGCTGGTGACTCTGAACAGAACAACTGTCTCTCCACTAAGCATGCAATATCACAGTATATAGATTGCTTAGTTCCTCAGCTTCCCATCAGCTTCCTGGAAGCAATCTTCCTTTCTTTGAACAGGGTCAGCTTCACTTAACTGAATTTCTGATCACGGAGGGCTGTCCTCACATCTGGATGGCATCGGATTCTCAGATCACACAGCCCCCCTTCTCTCTCTCATGCATGGCTGCTCTCCTCTCCTTTTCCTGTTCACTTCCCAAGTCTAAAAACCCCACCTCTTCATGAATATAGAAATCTCTATGAAGTCTGAGGCTGTGTTAGAAAAAACAGTGACATCTTGTGGCTAAACTGCAGAATGTCAGTCAGAACGTTTTTAATTTACTTCAATCAGTGTTCAAACAATGAAAGCTGTTTCCCCATCTCATAATCTCATGGGGCCCCCTACTGACCCCGGGCCCTCGGGCACTGCCCGAGTTTCTAAATGGTCAGTCCACCCCTGGACGTAGGAATTAAACCCCCTGTCACATTCAGCAGACACTACTGCATACTAAACACTACCCATTCAAAGGAATGGAACCACGCTGCAACTGTATACAATGAGAAGGTGACTATCAAACAACTCTAAAAAACCGTCTGAGCATAGATCGCTTTTCAGAAGCACGCCTGACCTTGCAGCATATATAAACAAGCCCTAAAATAGAATATCCAGATAAGGTTTTTATAATTCTGAGTTGCAGAGGTGTGTGTTCTGACAATTGGAAGGTAGTTCCCACCAGTGTACATTTCTAGTAGAGCACTTTGTTGATGAAGGGGATGGTCTGGATCAGTCTACATTTCATGTAATGGCTGCTGTGTGTCCAGCACATGACGTCAGCATTTTATTGGAGACGAGCTTCATTTTTTTCCTCAAAGCCAGACACCTTCTGAAAGGTCATTTACTTCCAGTGTGATCATCCAGAAACAAAAAGTACAACTACAGTATTCATATGTAGAACTAAATTTTCCATTCAGTTTACAGATTGGCACTGTGTCAGTGTTGTTTTGTTTTTTTGTACCTGGCACAGTTTACAACAGTCATTTGCTAACAATGCTCAGCAGCAGGGCTGGTACTGTGTGTAAGGATAATATTTTATGTGTTCGTTAATTATGTACAGAGACAATAGTGGCAATGGACGGCTCAGTAAATACTTTGCTTTTGTTTACTAATTGTAAGATGCAGTAAGTACCCTTCATATGAACGTTCAAGTTGCGAACTTTCAAAGATGCAAACATGTAATCACATGTCCAGTCATGTAAATCTGGGTACACACACTCAGTTTTTTTTTTTTTGTTCAATCCACTGGGCTAAACGGAAAAAAAAAAAAAAACCTGAGAGATTGTCGTACCAACACAAGCAATGTTGGTGTGGTGATCTCCCCCGCTGTCTGCCGTCCATTGTCTGCAAGCATTGATCTTTGTTGGACTTACAAACAACTTGGACTTATGAACGCATTTGTTTGTTACACATGGAACTCGCTCAGAAGTAGGGGGCTTACTTTACTTTTTTTGACGTTTTCTTGTTCTGTTCACATGTTGTTAGTGACAATACTCCCATAAGCCATAATTTTATGACCATGGACAGGTTACATGAATACGTTGACTATTTCATTACAATAGCTTCTGAAAGTGGGTGTTCTGTCTTTCCAATCTAACCATTGATAGTGTGATCTCTGTAACTTACAGTTGTGATGAGATAGCGATAACTCCAATATCAGTTGGATACCTCAGTCAGTGACTCAATCGAGATGATATCGTGTAGATCTTGTGAAGTTTATTCCATAAACTGAGAGAATCTTACAACAATGAACATTCGATAGGTCAAAAGATCATAATGTGTCCTGCTTCATGACATGAGGCTAGAGCTGCAGTGCATTTCTGGAAAAAAGGGTGGGCTATCTATACAGCATTAACTAAACCAAAGGAAAGGGAGAAGCAGAGACAAAATATAGAAAACACTTAAAGGCATATGA